TCAGGGCCCAGCCCACCAGACTCCTCACCTCGTCCCCCACATCCACCTCTCAGGAGGAAACTGGGTACTCTCTGGACCCCGAGGGCAGAAGCCTAGGCGCAGGCTGAGGCGCCCTGGGCACCCTTCACCCCCACTGAGGTCTCCCGGTTTCTGTTCGGCTCCCGGAGCCCTTCTCCCCACTCTCAGGTGCAAATGCTCAAGATGTCTCCCCCTGCCTACCCGCTTCGCATTCCCTTCCAGGCTTTAAAGTGAGGAAGAATACACCGCTCAGGGTTTTTCTTTTTCCAATTTTATTTTAAAGTTTTAAAATTACAAAGAAAGCAAAATTTTCCCGGCACAAATAACACTTGTTTTAAAAAAGGGAGGCGAGGACGCGCAAGTGCGTGATTTTCCTATTTTATGAAAAGAGAAAGACAACTGTACAGGTTTTTTTCTCCTAGCTCCCGGGTGTGGGACGTAAATACTAGCCCTAGATATGTATATATACATATGCACACACATGCACAGACCTAGCTCTGAAAACTACTTAGCAAATCCCAAATCGACTGTAGTATGTCTTACTGTCCACTCCCCACCCACTTCCCCTCCCCCCAGCTACAACTACTTATCAAAGACTGGGAAGTAAAAACACATTGGGAGGTTAAGGTGACTGGTGGTGGGGCTGGAAACCCATCAGACCAAGCAAGTCCACCTTTTGTACAAGAGAACAAGAAAACAGAGGAAAAGAAAATAAGTCTCCCCAGGACACAATCCATCAATTGTGTGGAAAAACCCATGTTTCAACAGGGCACACTGAGGCACTTGGCTGACTGACTCCCCACCCTTTCCCCAAAGTTTCCACTGGCACTGAGACAAGAGACTTTGCCGAAGCCACAAAGACCCCCCAATGGCTAGTTCCTAGCTGACTGGGAGAAGCTACAGCTTCTCCCACCAGCTGTCATTTGAACCTCCCTCCCCCTTCCCCTTCCCCAAGACAATAGGGAGGCCAGCAGGGCAGACCGACAGAAGTAAGGAGGTAACTGGGCTTGGGCCCCCACTGCTTCCCGTTGGGAGATGGAAGGCAGTTCCGAGGCGGGTTTTTTCCACCTCCCTCCTTTGCTTGGCTAGCTGCTGCTGCCCCCTCTCCAGCCGACCAAAGGTTCTGGAACTCTCAGAAGCGGTGCCCAACTTAAAGAAAGCTCACTTGCCCTAAACATATTCCCACTGACCTCACAATTCCTGGGCTCCCTCTCACCTAGCCAGAACCAACTGCCCTGCCTGTTCTTTCCCTCATCCACCGTCACAGCAAAAACAAAAACAAAACACACAAGCCCACCAAAACCCCCAATCCCATAAGTACAAGTACATTAATAGCAAAACAAAATAGAAGTACATTCTCATCATGACAGAGATGCAATTTGTTGCTGTCCTTGCACAACTGGTTAGGGAAAAATGAATTATTCTGTTATTTTTGAGGAATCCAAATCCTGTCTCTTAAAAAGTCAGCACAGAAGGGGGCAAAAGGTTGCAGGTGAGGATCGAGAGAAAGCAGAAGAAAAGTATTTACAGAAAACAGGAGACAGAAGGGAAGGTTCACAAGAAAAGGCTTCATTTGTCACTTCTTCTTGCCGGTCCTCTTGGCACTGGACTTTGCTTTGGGCTTCACTGGTTTGGCCTTCTTGGGCTTGGAGGCCTTGACGGGCTTGGCTTTGACAGTCTTGGTTTTTTTGGTCTTCTTGGGCGTGGCAGCCGGCTTCTTCTTGGCCTTCTTGACTGGGGTGGCTTTGGGTTTCTTGCTTGGAGCTTTGGAGGCAGCCTTCTTGGGCTTGGCTGCCTTCTTTGGCGTGGCCACCTTCTTGACTTCCTTCTTGGTCTTCTTGAAGGCCACGGACTTCTTGGGCTCGTCGCTCTTGGCCAGCCGGAAGGACCCCGAGGCACCCACCCCTTTGGTCTGCTTGAGGACACCGGTGGTGACCAGGCGCTTGATGGACAGCTTGATCTGCGAGTCGGCATTCTCACCCACCTTGTAGTGGCTCTTGATATACTTCTGGATGGACTGGCGCGAGGAGCCAGCGCGGTTCTTCTCGGCCTGGATGGCAGCCACGATCATGTCTGAATACT